TTGCTGGTTAGAACGATAGTAATGCCCTAATTAAAAAACTATGCATGATTAGAATCGAACGGCACTGGTATTTGTTAGCTTGTGAGACACAACGTACTTCTTTCAATCAAGTGAATAGCGCGTCCATAAAATGTATGAAGTTGTCTACTTCAATCGTAAATATAAGTTCTACCGGATGCAGGGGACTTAGGTGATCAAAAAAGAGTTTCTCATCCTCTTTACAGACTACGAAGATGTAGACAACAGAGGTTTGATAGAGGCTGAATAATAGGCTGATAATGCACTATAAACAACACAGGACGGATCCTTCTGTTACAGCTGATGAATGCTTGTATTTCTAGATGCTTCATAAAGAATTCCATTAAAATTTGAGACAGCGGGCAATCAACAGGTTCCCCGCTGTTTTATTTGTATAGTTCGCCAGTGAATCGAAAGTAGCCATAGTTCACTAGACAGATTTTCAGCATGTCGACAATTTAACAAATACTGTTAAGGCCGCTTATTTTGATAACACTGGATGATCCAGGAGCTTCGTGTTTACACAGGACGATTTCTTTAAGCGCTAAGCTGTTAAACAAGCTCTTGACGTCGTTGATCCTCTTTGAATTTTAATTGAAGACAGTTTGTGAATTTACTGGAATTTTAGACATGGGAATTTATCTTCCCGCTATAGTTCGAGATTATTGGTTACAAAATTACCGAGAAGAATAATCGAATGGCGCGACTGCCTGAGTCGATAGGCCGCATAAGAGCTCCAAACTTGTAAACCTTTGCCAAACGGTTAAATTCTGACCTTGTGAAGTTGGTTTAATATTTCATCTCATTTCTTTTCAACCTCCTTATTTTGTTACGGTATCTACAGAGTAATGCGTCAAAATTTTGCTAGGACCTTCATGACATCTGTTGGTTATCATTTTTATCCATGACACATTTCAGTTTTACAAAGATGACAAACAGATGTAACCAAATAATATGGATAAACAATAAGAGCAGAAGTGTCATACATAAACAGGTGTGAGTAACAGTAATGAATTATTTCATGGTTGAATCGCAATGAATACAATATTCCCAAAGGTGCAAGAGCTGATGTGAAAAATTTTCATCTATCTGGATGTGATGGACGGACGATACTCCAAAATGTCGTGACAATAGGAAAAATAGTAATCCTAGTGTGGCAAATTCCAAATAAACTATGGAGGTTCAATGTCGGTCTCAAACCTCATTTGCTCCTCAACCTACAGTGACTTTACAAATAGCTCTCAAGCTATGATATGATATGGAATGTTAATTATTTCTCGCTTAAACCTGAGCACAATATTGAACTGAGATTGCGATGATTGCTGTGGTAACAATATTAACATATGGATCAACAAAACATTCGTAATAAGCGGGCAATGAACAAATGAGATCTAAGGCTTGACAATGATAAATGCCACCCTTCGCTGAGAACAACAACATGAATGTTCTAAGTGGTAATGTTTCTATTCCGGAGTGGCATCAAAACTTTCACAGAAATAATTATGTTCCCTCATGTCGTTGAGGTTGTATAACCATTCATTGATCGCTGAAGCAATCGATTTCAGCTCTGCGTTTGACCTGCTAATACTCATTCTTATATACGCCAGTTTAGAAAATAAAAACTACGCAATCATGTGGAGTGTCGGTTTGTTGATAACTCGCTTCAGTGAAACTGACTTCAACGTACCACGTGATGTAATTGCGGGAAAAATTGTCACAATGTTAGGACGATGGCTGAGTCAGTGGCTGTTGTTCGTTGGCAATCATTCGTTGCATGCAAATTTCTTGGCGAACGGTAAGTCCATCATGTGATTCCTTCATAAAACTCACAAAGAACCGGATGGATGGCCGGTTATTCATGGCTGAATATTTAGCGAGGTCTATGCTTCTACTTTTGGACATAGTCAGATTGCGAGGAGTTTTTTGACGAGGCAAGATCCTCTGAACAGAAGAAAGATCGTATTTTGGCAGTCGTACAAAGAGAGGTAAGACAAACAGTTAGACCAGATTTCAACATCAGTGCTCCTTAGCTAACGCGCTGGTTCATTAATCCAGATAGTTGTTTAACTATCTCTCCAACGGACTGTCGTATTCTACTGGGAAAATAAAACTTTCATTTAAAATTTAAAAAATGAAAATAATTTGATCTTTAAAGTGAATTTTAAAATTAATGTTTTACGTTTTCTGCCGCATCGTAATCAGCTATAG